TTGTATTCAAGTACCTAATGACGGGGAGGTATGTGTCGACAACGACCTGTTTACGATATTCCGCAAACCGTCATTGAATTGGATAGATGCTGAACAGTTTTGTGACGTCATGTACCCTGAACAAATATCGAATTTAGCAGTTGTATCTACCAAAGCCTTACGACTTTCTCTTACCAGGTGTGTGTGTAATTATTTTATTTCTTTGCCTGAAAGCATGTAGTCTAATTCAAGTGTGAATAATACTATCATACATTTATTTCTAACGAAAAGAATGGCTTAGTAAAACTTCAGTAGTTGTTAAAATACACTAAGGTCTTCCAGGCTGCAGTATTTTATGCATTTTCATTTCATTATTTATGTCCAAAACTACGATAAAGACTTTCCGTTTTCGACATTGTGAAATTCTTCCGTTTTTGTGAGAAGACCCTGAAAAACTGATTTTGACAAAATAATCAAGAAATATATTAAGAATCCATATAACGAAATGTATTCAGTATGCACCCATAAATAATCACCGAATACACAAAACTAGTTTTAAAAAAAATGATTTGACAATTCTCTATATTTTTGCTTTTTATTTGTCTTGAATTATAACTGAATAAAATTACAAACAATGTAATGTGTCCAACAACTTATGTATGAACAACTTACTGATGTATATTTATAAACACGAAAGAATTTCATAATGTCGAAAACGGAAAGTCTTTATCGCAGTGTTGTCGCATTAATACCTAGACTTGCTGATAGCTCTTCAAATATTATTCTTTTTGACCGGTCATCCCGTGCACTACTCCAAATACATAGATCAGTGGAACAGTAGACGCCACGACGGGTTAATGAAACCAAATTTGTGGAACAAAAACAAAGTCTCGTGGTTTATCGCTCTCAACGAGATCTCGTCTGTCATTCGCGTCGATGGTCTATTGTTCAAAACACTAATATTTCGGGCTACAAACATAAAGGTACCCTAGCTCAAGAGATTTAAATACTGTTTCGACTGAAATGTTTTAATTTCTTGCATTGTCACCGCTACAGTTATATCAAAAGTGACACCACACTGAGTTTTGGCAGAATAGGCAGAGGATACTGGGTTGGATGTAATGATATAGAGAATGAGGGTCATTTTATCTGGGCGGATGGCACAGAAGTCGATGATCAAAATTGGGAGAAGCGTCAACCGAATAACAACAATGGACAACATTGCTGTCAAATGTGGTGAGTATATTGTCATCTTCAGATAACATTATACGTTGTTAAAAATCATAGCGGCCTCAAGTGGAAGTCTTGAGACAGGACCAAGGATCGATGAAAAAATGGCAGGCTAGTTGTTTACTTGTACCATAGTACATCTGAGATTCCTTGGTTAAATCCAGTTCCATCTGGTGACATCAAAATTTCAATATAGTTTTTATTGATGTACAGTATGGGGTCTCTGATTGGTTAACTTCTGACTAATCACCAAACACTTCCGATCTCATTTCAACAAATAACAGCACGTTGCTTACTTTCATGAAAAGATGTTCTTTGTCGAAGTACCATTTAAATATTGTTTTCATTGTTGAGACGTTCCCTCTTGCATTTTGGAAATAATATCCGCATTTCCCGATTTGCATACAGAGAATTATGTGTTCAGAATTATGCACAACTCGAAACTAAATATTCGAATAAAAACAAATAATGAACAAAGTCTTATTTGGATAATTTTAACAACTACGAACGAGGACGAATGCCAAGATGACGAATAACAAATTGCCGGGGTGAAGTAATTCAAGTACAAATATTATTTAATTGGGTCATATATTCTCCTAATTGAATTACATGTTTCTTCAATACAGGCAACACCCTAAAAATAAACCACGATTTAAGCTCGACGATGAAACGTGCAGTAAGAAAAAGGGTTATATCTGTCAAATTAGTAAGTATCAAGTCGTCTTAGTTTGGAACTAGTAGTATTTAGTATTTAAACTTTCTTTTTATATCTATTGCACTGCAATGTTTTTAAATTAGACCATGTTTTTAAATTACGTGTCACTAATGAAGTATTAATGTTGTTTTTGTCTTTAGAGAATGGATGTTCCGAATAACGTTGAAACGATATATATGAATTAATTGCCAATTAGTAGTAATGAAACAAACACATGAAGGGTCATGTCGGTGTGATAACTGAAAACGTTTGACACTCGAAAACTCGCGGACGATTATTATGACGTCATCAAACCGATCAACGTAATTCCATTAATCATGGAGTTTCGGGGTTTTGCAATATTTGTAAATGATCCAGACAAGACGAACATTATTTCCTATAAGTTTAATTCCCTCTGGCGAAGAACTCGTCATGGGTCTGTAACAGGAATGTAGATATAGAGTACTAGTAACAGCGGTTTGTTTATATCGTTGTTCGGTATAACTTAAAAGGCGGCAGTCGTTGTGCCGCGTCCTGTTCGATATGGGACTCGTAGAATAATGTATTGTCCAGCTGAAATAATGGTCCACATTCTACACATGATATAATTTGTGACGTCACAATTTCATTGCACCATGAGAAATTAGTTTGACACGTGATTTGATAAATTATCAAAGAAAGTTCACCAACAAGCCACTTCAAGTGGACAGACGAATTGCCGGGAACAAAATATTTGTTGCTTTCGCATATAACGATAGCTATTTATACCATGATGCGGACATTGGTTGGTAGTTTTCATCTAGAGTAATTTAAACCCTAACCCATACATTTGACCTCTTCCAACCTACATTACGATGTGTTCTCCGGGGATGAAATTGAGAAGGATGGTTACTTACATCAGAAAAGAAAACAGTATACATATATGTCGCAAGAAGAGTTTCCGTTTTAAAGTTTGAAAGAGGTCAACAATGTCAATACTCATCCTTACAAAAGAGGTGTTTATTCAGCAAATATTGCCAATTTATTAAAAAAGCATATGTCAACCTTCAACTAATCTACAAAAACATGTGTATATTTTATGTGAAGCGGTAAAATATTATACGAGGGGCATTAAATTTAAAATCATAGTTTGCCTATCTTGGTAAAAAAAAGTTTGTCTATCTGGCGGTGCAGAGAAACTAAGATTTTTCCTTCCCTTTCCCTTTGGAATCACTCAAACTCGTGTATTGTTTCATAGTTTTTTTCAATGTGCATCTTGTAGTTGGTAATAAAATGAAGCAGTATCTCAATGAATAATGTCTTTGTGATGTTTATTGTGATACTCTATAAAATAAAGAATTATTTGCAGTGATGATACAAGCGAGTTAATACAAGGCGCTATTAATCACACTGTCTGGTGTGATACCCCATAGCTATGACGTCAGCTATATCCAAACTAAGCGTAAAACGTCAAATCCCCACTGTGTCACTGGACTGCTACACCCATATACAATACATTAGTACAGTAAGGCACTGTGCATATTTTTGCCCAGACGAAATTGTTACTAACCCCCCCCCCCGATACTCTGACTTGCTGATCCAAACCAAGGGTAGTTTACAGTATCCATGTAACACCAAGACATTTTGGACTATTTAGTTCCAAAGTGCAGAGAAACTATCAAATGCGTCAAATAATTTCACAGTGCGGCCTCAACTGTTATTAACATGACCACGGCGTGTTTCAGTGTTTTCTGCTTATAACCACGAGATGACAACTGTATATTCTGTGTACTTTGTGTGATTTAGCTGGCGTTCTAAGGCTGACCGAGAACGAGTACACGTATAAGCAACGTATTATCATATTCGGGAATAACATTGAAAGTTAGAAATTGCAATAAGCAATAGTTTAACGAGCGGTGGTCGTCGCGCCGTGTCCTGTTCGATATTGGACTAATAGCGACGTACACAGGACGTGTAAAATAAATTGTTTTCGATTCCTAGTG